ATCTCCCACCTATTTCATTAGGTTATTTCCCTGTACAGAGGACCAATTTCAAGCATAATCTTTATTTCCAAAAAATGATTCTGAACATTCCATATCCCACAGAGACATTATTAAAACATAAAAGTAAGTAGCTGCAGCCCAACATATTTGCAAGTATGCCCATTTGATAAGGGGATGTTTTCTGTTTGGCACCACCAATTATGCTGGCCATTTTGGGGAAGGATCCATTACATACTCTAAAAATTCCAAATATAGAAACTTTCCAAACTTCATTCCCTTTTTAATATTATATCAAAACAAAGGATATTTATTAACATCTAATGCCTTATATAATCAGATTTTATCTGCATTACTATCTATCCATACCTATCTATGTAAGTATAATTTTACCTCCAGAAGTGTAGCTCAAATCCTTCACATTTATCTTTACATTTTAAACATGGGGCTCCAAATCCTTCTTCATGTCCTAAGCCCATCTAAAGTGAGAGAAGCAGAGAAGGGGGGAAAACAGTTTTAGCATAATATTATTGTAAGGCATATGATATCTTTTACTGGTGGGGCAAAGAGTGGCATACTTCCAAAATAAAATAAAAAACTTGCCACTTTGGCATTGCAATGAAATAAATCATGCTCTGGTGCTTTATTTGGGTATCCATAAATGATTATCATCATGATAAAGAAGTTAAAATGGAGAAAAAAAATATACAACACATTAGATGTTGGTATGTATATATGCAACGGACACTTTTCCATTAAAGGCTAGATTTTAGAAGAATAAATGCTCATTAATGGTCTGCCTGTACATTTAAGCATACCACATTCAATTTTGTTAATGTACAACTAGTCTGATACTCAATAACTAAAAAGAGTCAAAGCAGAGCATAATCTGTACTACAAACTAGATTAAAAACAGGAATCTGAGCATGGTAATCTATCCTTGAAATGTAGTAAAAGGATTTTGAACAATATCTTGTTATATAAATAGCTATTGTTGTCATCAGCCATTCAACTGTGTCTGACCCTGGGCCTCTCTATGGATCAGCACTCTCCATACATGCCCCTCTGTCTCACATTGCCTCCTTCAGATCCGCCATCATCATCCTGGTGTCATCCTTTATTATGTCCAGCCAACAAAACAGGCAGCCCCTTCTCCTTTTTCTGATCACTCCTAGCATGGTTGACTTTTTGAGTAAGTCAGCTCTCATGACATGATCGAAGTATGACAGCCTCTATTTGGCAATCTTGTCTTCAAGTGACATTTTTGGTGTAATAAAAATATAATATAAATATAAAAAATTATATGTTACTATTTATATTTTATTTATATAAATAGCACTTAGTATAAATTCAGCTTGGCCTTGTATGTTTAATATCTATAGTTTTTTCCAAATAAAATTAAATAATCTATATAAATAAAAATGTAAATGTTCGTTTGTTCAAAATCTTAAATCTCTGAAAGTTCTTCACCGATTGCTTTGAAATTTTGACACAACGTTGCATTCGAATACGTGCATGTTTTTATATACCTACTATTATATAGATGTCACACCTGTGACACAAACGTGTGCTTTCTCTTTTCTTTCTTTTCCATTTAAACAGACTGAGCCACAGCAACGCGTGGCCGGGTATAGCTGGTTTGTAATATATTGCAAAATCCAACCAAATTCTGGTTGGAATTTAGGAAGTATACAGGTAGTCCTCATTTAGTAATCACAATTGGAACTGGTAACTTGGTTGTTAAGTGAAATGGTCACTTAGTGAAACTGCAACTATGCTTATGATCTTACTTCAACTTTCCCTTGATTTACTGACTTGCAAAGCCTGAGAATTTATCATTTTTCGTCGCCATTGTAATTGTGAATCGTTGCTAAACAGGATATTGTTAAATATAGTTCTCAAAAATTGTCAGTTATTAGTAGTTGTCAGAAACCAGTACTTATGAACAGTTAATTGGGCTGTTTATTCGGAAATGGATCAGGAAGAGAATGGTACTTTCAGACTTGCAAGACTGATATCAGCCTCAGATGAGCCCACTCTATTTTATTGTAATGATACATTGACAGATAATTGCAAATGTGAAAGTAAATTCTCCTTCTGCTCCTTTATTGCTTGGAAAACTAGGGAGGGTCTCTTCTGAGCCACTTGCCTCACTCACTATCCAGCCATGGGCTATGTTATCTCTTATCTGACAGTTTGGTGGCAGCATCTCTTTGCTCAGTCTCCCACGTTCTCACATATTCTATTACATCAAGCCGCCATAGCCCTTTTAGCAGTGAATTGTAAAGAGGTCCTCTGAATGGTTTGCAGATCAAAAGGTATTAGAAAGTAGTTATCATAGCTAATTCTGAACTGTGTAGATAAATAATTAACAAAATCAACCAGAACTCAAAAAAGATACCCCACTCCAGCCCAGGATGGAGCTGTAATTTTGGTCACTATCACACTATTGTCTTTTTAGGGACACAAGTCATCACAAGTGAAATAAAGAAAATCCTTTCTTTATTTGGAATATCTGGTCTATGAGGTGAATCACACAACTCTGGAACCATCACGCTGTATTTCAAACAATCACAGTTATTTATTTAGCAATACATTTATAGTATAATAATACAAAATGAACTGTTTAGATGCTATATTGTTTTAAACTGATTTATTGTAATAATTGTTATATTTATATACTACTGTTTTTAGTAAATAGATTTTAATCAATACAGAAAAGCAACAGTGATTAACAGTCTACCATTTTTCTTAATTCAGCAATTTCTTTTGCAGTGGCAATGATTAATCCATCCTTAGCATAAAATGTGTGCAAGTGCTTGAGTAAAATCTTTCCACACACGAATATAATTTAAAACCTCTGCAGAATTTATGTTCTATAACAGTGTTTGAGCAAGCAGATTTGGGAGACAGAAAAACTGACTTTTTTTTTCTGGAAACAAACAATATATGCTACTGCAGTCAACAAGTGGATTTATTTTCATTTAACTACATTGAACTTTGAATGCCTTTTAAAAAGCTCCAGGAAAAGCAGATCTCAAGCACTGCTACATTTGTCATCATTGTGATTACTTGCCTCAGAACATGTGTTATAATTGCTAGAAACTATACATTGGACTGACATGGAATTATTTCTGAACACTAAAACTAACTTTCCAAAGTATCCAAAATTATAACAAATTGGCCCATGCAAGGGCCTAACAGAGGATGGAATCAATTTCTCCATAAATGGAATCATGGAAGAAACTAAGATACATAGGTCATTTGAAATGTTGCCAGAAGAGATTTCTGTATGTCAGTTGCTAAAAATTCTAAAAACATCTGGCATTTTAAACATGTCTAGTCAGATTTTAAACCCGACGGCATATGAAAAGCATTATAAGTGGACTGATTGAAATCATCTGCTTCACAGTGTCTTCATGACTAAAATATTACTTCAGAGCCAAGTGTTGTAAATGGTTACAGCCAACCTAATGTTTGAAGAAACAAAGGGCTTGCTTTAATCAGCTTGGAATGCTCTGGGGGGGGGGGCAGCACTGTTGACTTCTACATTAAACTGCATTGTCTTCAGTCTTTATCTGGCCTCACTCAAATGAGTCTTACCTTGACTTTTGCTGCCATGTTAAGCTAGGTATTCCTAGCTTAACATGGCTAGTTTTACCTCAGCCCCCAAATCAGCCTTCTGAACAGATTGCCCTCCATGTTGCTTCCTGGGAGCCTCAAGGAAATTACAGAGAGAAACATCTTGAAAAGCATGGTCTCGCCAGGAAGCAACTCTTGACTTCTGTAAAGATATAACTTGGGGAGTCCCAGTTACTCTGGGCTGGACTGGTTTTGACACAAAGTTCCTGTTTAAGAGGAAAAGCATCCTAACCAGCATCCTGTCCTCAGTTGGATGGCTGTAACTTGCAGGAACCACAAGCCCAGACTACACATCTGCTTTACACTCTACATCCTAACCAGAAATTGAATCCATCCATTCCTTTATTTTTCTATCCTTACAGCTTCAATCTTGCCAGCCTTTCCACAAGGGAGGGTAGGTTTGTCAATTTGTTGCAAATCCCAGATCCCAGCCACAGAGACTGAAACAATCACATGTCCTGCCACAAAAGACTACAGAAATGATACTGTGATGCCAAAGCTCCACACATCCCATTTGAACATCTTAGAGCAAATCATCTGTTACTGCAGGACTCTAATATAACCTCACAAAGTTAGGAATATACAAGCTGATGCCTATTATTTTCTTCTGCCCTGCAGAATAAGAAAATGCTATCCAGCCCCTTCTGCCGGTGATCATGATTTCCAATAATGGAAGATAAGATGAGATGAGAAAAAAACTCTTTCAGGTTTTTTTTTGCAGAACTGGATAAGGCTGTCATCAAAGAAGAACTATTGTTTCAATTTAAGAATGAAATGAATGAAATTTCACTTTTTTCTTTTTGTGTTGTATCTTCCATATTGTGAAAAACTATATAAAGGACTTTTTTTTCCTGATCCTAGGAATATTTTGGATCAAATGGGAATGAGGGAGAAATTAATTAATTGATCTGAATTATCCAGGGTTACCCCACTGCAATTCAACAGACTTTTGGTGGCTTACAGATACAGTATAATAAAAATGGAAAAAATACTGAACTATAAAAACCATAAAACAGGCAATGCAAAACAGAGGCATCACAATCCAAATACTGCCTGGAATAGCTTGGTTTTCATCTCCTAGAGAGTGATCAAGATAAGAACAGACCTCTCCTCCAGGAGGAGGCTATTTCAAGATCTAACACCACCACCAAGAAACAATTCTGAGCATTGAACTCCTGGCCTCCTGAAACTGGAGAACAACCAGCTGCCAACTCACCTACCAATGGTTAGACCAATTTCTGTGGAGAGAGGTTATCCTGTAGGTAGCTTGGTTTGAAGCCATACAAGTTGCCAGTAGTACTTTTGATTGCACCCAAAAGCTAACAGGGAATCAATGCAAGGCTCACTGGCAGTGACAACTGCTAGTGAGCATCCAGGTGACTGTATTCTGTATCAACTAAAATCTCTTGAGGGAACATGGTGGTGCAGTGGCTTAATGCCGCTGGGAATGTCAGCCAGAAATGGTTTGCATTCTGACAGTTCAAGCCTGGCTCTGTGAGCTCCCTGCACCTGATTCTTAGCTCCTGTCCTCCCAGCAGTTTGAAAGCATGCAATATTGTGAGTAGATAAATGGGTGGGAAAAATCTAGCTGTGTCCACATGAATGGAGAGAGGAAGCTAGCGATGGACCTGGCCAGACGCGAGGAGGTGAAGGCGTGGCTAGAGTGGCAGAGGAGCCTAGAAGAGCCAGCAACCCAAGTGGTGCTAGCTAATCAGTGTAATAGTTTGTCCCCTGCAGTGCACCAAGGATTGGCATGCAAGTGCTGATGAACTATTAATGAACTAGTAATCTAGGCTGTTAGACTGCATTGTGTCTACCATGTGTAGATTTCCCTGAC